TCTAAAATATCAAAAGATAATTCTGTAGAAGAAAAACTTTACAATATAGAAAAAAGGATAAATGAGATTATCGAGACGTTCCAAAGTCAAGAGAAATTAATACGCAAGATAAGAAATAATCAAATCAAATTAGATAATAATCAAATTAAACTAGAAATAAGTAGAATTAGAAAAGAGAATAAACAAAAAAAATATAGTTTTATTAATTCTATATTATTATTTCTTATCTTAATTTCTATATTAATAATGCTTTTGGATCACGCGAATGTTTTTTAAAGGATTGAATTCAGCAAATTCGAATGACATGGTTTTACTTTCTTGTAATAATCACAAATTATTGCTCATAAATTTAATAATAATAAATTGATAATTGCGAAATATTAAATGTCTAATTTCATGTGTAAATCAGAAATAAACTTATATAAACTCAGCATTGATCCTGTGAAAATAATCTTTAACCACTGAATATATCATGACTTGTGATTAAGATCCGCTATTATTGTTTATCATAATAGCTTTGGGAGAAAATTTAATTATGACAACAATTACGAAACCTCAATGTATATATAAATGAACATAAAATAATTATATATTATATGTTAATATTTTTACTTATTATTATAATTATATGCATAATATAGTATCATATAATAAGTATGGTTGTATAAACACTACAACTATTTAAGATGTTAGTAATTTATCCATTGCAACTCTCACATAATATTAATAACAATAATACTGGAATATCTATTTCAAATAATTGATCATTTAATTAATTGATTCTTTATCCTTTTTCTAATTCAACTGAATAATTTTTTTTTATATAATTTCTACTATTTTTAATGTTTTGAGTAATTCATTTAATAAATTAGTAGTTTTATCTTCCAAATCATTTATATTGATTAATTCGTTTAATAAGTCGAATAATTTATTTATTATTAAAATTATCATTACTTTTACTATATCCATAATTTAATCAATTTCTTAATTAGTATAAAATGGAATAATTTTTAGACTATTGATGATAAAGCAATTAAAACTCTATCTTCTGAAAGTCATACTGATATTAGCAAATTATAGACAAAATTATGGAATTACGAGAAATACTTATAAGGTTAATGTCTATTGCTATAGTAAAATTTACTATTGATGATTTTTTCGTTAGATATACTAATTCAATTAAATAATTAATGATGCTACTTGTAAATACTTGCAAAATAGCTTTTTTGACAATAAACCTTTAGACAGCTCAAAGTAAATATAGATATATTAGTATTACTTTATATTGAATATCAAGTGATTTTGAAGTTTATAATTATTTTCTGTATATTGAATATATTTATATTCTAAAGAAAATATCTTAATTTTTTTTTAAAAAAAAGTTTGATTTAGATGGCAAAATTACTTGTATTATAACTGATAATAATAATAATAATTTTAATACTATCAATATTTCATCTAATTCAAAAGAATCAAATTTCAGAATATTGCTAATATTAATATATGATAGAATTCTAAATATTATTTTTATATTATTTATTAAAATTACATAAAGCTATTATATAGTTAGTTATTACTTTACCTTTATCTGAAAATTCTAATGATCATATTAAAGATGGGAACTGTAATTAATATGTTGCAACTTTTAATGTTGTAACTTACGTTGCAATTAGTTTTAACCTATATATGTTGCAACTTATAATGTTACAACATATGTTGCAACTAATTTTAGCTTATGTTGCAACATTTTGTAAATTTGAAATCAATTGTTATATCATCTTTAGATCATACAAATGGAAAAAAAACTTAAAAAATTAGCTTTTATTACATTATGAATAGGATTTATTAAAGTAAATAGTTGATTTATTAAAACCATTTGATGATACTATTACTTATTTTAGTAGAATATTTTATGTAACTTTATCAATTATTTATCCTTTAATTCAATTTCTCAAATATAAATATGTATGTAATAATTATAATATAATAGAACAAAAAGATAATTTTAAATTTAAAAATTTTTATTTATTTAATTAATTAATTAATAAATAAATTATTACAGATGCTTTTAATTTCGATATGAAGAATTATTAGATAAAGATAAGGATACTGATAATGATGATAATTTAGAACTTGATATTCTAGAACAACTAATATGAAATCATCATTATATTCAATCTACAATAACAATAACAATTTCTTCTCAAACTGATATTCTTGCAATAATAAAACAAACTATTTACAATTATTTATTTAAATATTAGAATTAACCTATAATAATTGGACTTTTAGCATCTTTTTTAGATCTGCAGCTAAAAAGTTTTTCTAATTGAGATGAAAATATTTAAAATAATGTATAAGAAGAATTGAGATATCAATTTAAAGAACTAATTAATTCAAATTTAGTACTACCAACATCATCTCCTAATAGTTTGAATTAATCAAATTTTTTTTAAAAAATCAATTATATACTTTTATTTTCAGTATAATTACATCAGCAAATTCAAATCCTTTTTATGAATTAAAATATTATTTAGATCCTACTTGTACTCTATTTCTTAGCATAATATAAATTCTTTTGAGTGATGATCAATTTGGAAAACTCAATTTTCTAATGTATCAAAATTAGTCAGAAAGTATTTATTTATTCCTGTTTCTTTAATATCTAGTAAAAGATTATTTTCTGATATAAGTAATCAAATATCTGCTAAATATACTTGTTTAAATCCAATATTAGCAGGTAAAATAATATTTATAAAGAGAAATTCAAATGTAATTAACATATTTTAATATTTTTGTAGATTGTAAAATAATTAATAAAATTAAAAAAAAACATTCATTATAATATAATAGTGAAAAAAAAATTTATATGTTATTATAAGTGATAAATTTTAAAATTTTTATTAATATATTATTATATATACTATCCCTTAAATGATAATGATTTTCATTCAAATTTAGTTATGATTTTCAATCAATTATTATGCAAAAATCTATACAATTTTTTTTTTAATTTTTAGTTAAAGTATGTTATAAAATTTATTATAAATCTATTATTTTTAAATAAAATTTCATTTGAATAATTAAAATATTAAATATATACAAAATTTTCAACTTCAAATTTATGATTTTTTTATAAATAAATAATATTTAAACATAAATAAATGTTTTAAATATAAATTTAATGTTTTGTAAAGTTTTTTTAATATTATAAAAATAAATAAAAATTAAAAATTTTAGCTATTTATAAAGAAAATACTTTTATTAAAATATTTTTAAAACTTTAGACTTAAATTAATGCAAAAAGCTACTAATTAATGTAAATTTTATTTTTATTTTACTTAAAAAATATCATAAATTTTATTATAATAATATTATTAATTTAATAACTAATTTTTAATATATTTAAAATTAACTTTTAAGTATAAGTAAAATTCCTTTTAAATTTGGAAGGAAAACTATTGAAGGGATACTAAATTTGATCCAGATACCCGATATATAAAATGATACAGATATTAGATAATCTCTACTGCTTTTCATATGTTAATACTTTATATTTATGTTATTTAATAATTAAAAATTTTAATCAATTAATATAAAAAAATATTTTTATATTTTATTAATAATAATTTTATATTAATTATAAAATTAAATTTTTAAATTTTTTAAATTTTAATTGAAAAATTTTAAGTAAAATAATATTAATAAAAAAAAATATATATTTTTGTTTATTACTTAATAACCTTATAAGATCATCATATGATAATATAAAGTTACTGTTGAAATAAATAATAATGAATTAAATTTTATATTCAAATTTTTTTCAAAAAAAAATCTAAAGAATAAAAATTATTTGAAAATTTTTTTTCTAACTTTAAAAAAAAATTATTTAATCATTTTAACAATAGAATAGAAATATAAATAAGCATATTTGAAAAAATATATTATATTATTAATTATATATTTATTTTAATGAATAAGTTAAAAAAAATTTTTTTTTATAATTAAAAATAAGAAAAAATATTATTTATTTTAAAGAATATTTTATATTATATTTTATAAATTTTTATTCTGTGTAAATAATACCATACCGATTATTAATAATTTTTTTTTGGTTTACTGAAGAGATCTTGATTTTGTATTATTTGTATTAAGACAAAGCCATTATTTTTTATTTTATTAAATAATATAAACTTTTAAAAATAAATTTATATTTATAAATATTTTATTACCGAGATTAATTCCAATTTTGCATTATTAAGATCGTTGTAACTTTAATCTCGTAAAAAAGGTTGTACTATACCGAAGAATTCGTTATAACGAATTTTCTTATAGCGAAGGTCTACGTTATGACTGTACATTTATTCATAAATAAATTGGATTTTTAATATAATAGGGCTGTTAAATGGCCTTCATACAAAACTAAATGGATAAATTACAGTATCTGTTGCAGAACATAGCACAATAACTTTAACTTTGGACATTTTAGTTTTTTAAAAAATTAAATCACGAGATATAAAAAATAATTGGTGATAATACGAGCATTTATCACAAAATTTTGTTGTGATATATTGCGGAATGTCATCCTCTTTGCTAATTAGCAGAAATAAATTTTTCTTTTAAAAAAAAAACGATTAATTTTTCGCTTTTCGAATTAAAAATCAATACACTTTTTACGGTTGATATTTTGAATGGGAATTGAACTTTTGGAACAAGAAATAGCTAATGAGACTTCTGAACCTGAACGCGATTTAAATCGTGAGGTGAACGGGAATGGGATTCTTGAAATGTCTGAAATCGATAGAGTACGAAACCTTGAAGAACCCTTTACTAATGAATTAACGGAGAATAATGTACCTATATTAAGACGTCGAGGTGGATCAACTTTACAAATGTCAAATAAATCGTCACAGTCAACAAGTTTTGTAACTGGTTTGTCTTCAACGACTTCGTCCTCTGCAGGTGAAGGAAGTAGTCGTGCCGTCAGAAGTTCACAGAGTAAAAATGATGATATTCACTCAAATAATAACTCTGAATACGAATGTAACATATGGTAATGTTAGTTAATTAAGTCAATTATTATTTCCTCCTTCATTAGAAATAATTTTACTAAAATTTATTTTCAATAGTTTTGATACAGCATCATCACCTGTTCTAACTTTGTGTGGACATTTATTTTGGTTAGTGTGAGCTCTTAACAATTATATTACTAAATCATATACTCGAATAAGATAATGATGAAAAAAATTTTTTTTTTCCCAGTTGGCCATGCTTACATCAAGTTAATAATTTTTAAAATTTTTACGTAAATTTTTTAAAAAAATTAAAAAATATTTAAATTTTAAACCGATTAAATTTTAATATGATAGTGGTTAGAAGCACAATCCCAAAATCCATTATGTCCCGTATGCAAGGCAGGATGTGGACAAGATAAAGTGATACCAATATATGGAAGAGGGAAAGAGGCCAAAGATCCAAGGTATGATGATTAAATGAGATTTAGCATCTAACAAACATATAATAAATTATGATTGACTTTAATATTATGATTTTCAGACAAAATTTGGATATCCCAAATCGTCCAGCAGGTCAAAGACCTCAACCACAAAGAGATCCGAATCAACCAGGTGCACAATTTTTTCCTGTTTCATCATTTCATTCCAATACATTTGGTCCGCATTTTTCAATTTCTGCCAGTGCAATATTTCCATCGTTATTTGGAGCACAGTTTGTAAGTAATTTCATTACTTCTTATATTCACATTAAATAATGCATGATAATAATTAACTTTTCCCATATTTCCTCATAGAATTTTCCTCCTCCCAATGGACCCCATTCACCACAACAAGCCTTTGTGTCAAGGCTCCTTTTGATGTTGGCTGTCTTATTCTCATTATGTTTTTACTTTATTAAATGAATTTGGAGATTAGCTTTGTTAAAATATTAAATTCCGGTTTATTACAAATAAACAACACAAATTCCAATTTTCCCACAAAAAAAATAAAGCAAATCATATAACCATATAATCACCATGCCTTCAAAAGCTTCTGTACCCTCTCCAGAAAATGATCACCTGTAACTTGCTTAGATGTTATTTCACATACTTTTTCATTAACCTTTAATGAGTCCACTTCCATCTCGTAGTTTGTTTCTTCAATATGTTGTTCTTCATCATTATCACAATTACCTGACACATTTAACCATGGCATACGTTTTGCTAATGACTTGATAAGTTTTTCCAATTTAGTCTCTTTAGTTTCTTTACGCCAATATTCTTTAAAATCCACACGATCATTAGATGCACGATATTGTTCTACAAGGTCGAGCTAAGAATAATTCGATAGATTAATTAATATAATTAATAAATAAAGAAAAATAAATATATGGGGTTTCTCTTTAATTTTTTACTTACAATTTCATCAGCAACTACATTCGAAATTGCGGAATTATTGACTAATTCAAAAGCCAACTGTTTTGCTTGTCCCATTTCATCCACTGATTTGACTGAATTGCTAACATAAAACCAATTGATAACTGACAGAGAACCGGGTAATTTTGGGTCATATGGACCTTAAACATTATTCAAGTAGATTCAATAGTTAATTTATTCGTCATATAAAGGAAAAAATAATAATAAAAAAAAGGTTTCTTACCAACGATGGCACCAACAAAAGGTTCTTCATTAAATTTTTCATCTCTGAATAATTTTTGATAATTATTTTGATTTTCCAAATCTACTATAGAAGGATCAGGTTGAAAAATCGGGTGAGAATGATACCATCCGACAACTTGCATATCTCGATCAGTAATGGTTTGTTGAACTTCTAGTGCGGAAGTCGGATCCATTTCAACATTGACATAATTTTCCCCGGTTTGAAGTGATCGACAAGGAAAAGTGGCTTTGACAATCAACTCTTTCAAACATTTATAAATTGATATTAAATATTTACAGTTCATTTAGATTAAAATAAGATCATCGGCTTACCCTTTTTCTCGGGTATCCAATATCCGGCTAAAAATCCTATGACTTCAGTGTTCATAAGATGTGCATGAAAATCCATTGCAACAAGCACATTTGATTCAACAATCATTGAAAACGGTTGACACCCAGCAATATTTGAATTAGGTGCACCAAAAAATGGATCACACTTTATCATCGTCAGTGGGTCTCTAAATTATTAATTGTTAAATCCTAATTTTCATTTTATAAACAATAATATTATAATTATACGGTAAATTCTTACGCATTTTCTTCATGAGTGTTCGATAGTTGTTTTCTATCTCCACGTAATCTCGCTTTCGCGTATTCCGTACGGCCATCAGCACCATACAGTTGGTTAAAATGGTCTTTCGTAGTATCTTGTGTGATCTTCGGCGAGGTACGACTAAGTTTTAAAAAATTACGTTAAAGTTAAATCATTTCTACCAATAGACTAAATTACTTTCGTACTTACGGACGACCGCGATTACGCTTTTCTTCAGCCGTTATAATCTGATGATTTTCATTTTCTTGCGTTGATTTATGTTCTTCCACTTGATCACTCACTTTAATTTTTGATTGCTCTTCTTTAACAATTAAACAACTTGTTTCCTTTTCCTCATCATTAAAATGTTGAAGACCCAATTGAGTAATATTATTTATTGTATCACTTTGCAAGTTATCATCTAATTCATGATTAGATGTCTTGAATGGTGATGTATCAGATTTATTTTCAAATTTATTTACAGTTTCTCGATTTTCTTGGGGCGGGTTCCTCATAAGATAAGGTCTTGCTGCAGCCGAGTTAGGGTCTAACTCTTTACCTGACAAGGTATAACCCTTGCCAGATTCTTGTACCTAAATAAATAGTAGGAATTTATAAATCCGGAAAATACGGTAATTTATAAAAATAGTCTCTTTTTATTTTCCATGTACTCTAAGCACTTCCGAGTTATTTCTTCACCTTTAGTGGTAGGAGAATTCCATCTCTGAATAATTTGATAAAGTGTTTCTGAGCATGACTTCGTATCGAATTAGTGTCCCTTGTTCCTATGTGCTCGGCCAGCTTTTTTTTTGTTTTTTAAATAAATAAAATAAGAGTATTTAGAAAAAAACTTATTGAAGGCAAAGAAATAATAAAATTTGGTGTATTACTTTCTTCCAATCACGTCCATAAAGTTCTAATCCAGATAAGAATAAAGATTCTTCATTATCAGAGTATGCACCTATATTCATACCAGGTAATATTGTCTTTGGAGTTTTTTTCTGTTTTTTGGCTGGTATCGAATGTTTTATTTCGCCGTTTATTTCACTTTCTTGGAAATCGTTATTCCTTTCTCCATCTTTCTCATTGCTTGGTATATTTTGTATATTTTCTGACATGTAAGGATGAACAGAATCATTGATAGCCAAGGAGCCGTTGTTAGGATGATCAAGCAGATCATCAGATGGGGACACATTGTTTTGTTGCTGAGTTTTTCTGTAAGTATCATTTTTACGCTTACGACCTTTAGTTCCTTTAAGATTTACGTGAGAAGTTGAATATGGATTTTCCAAAATTATTGACGCGTCACGATATAGTACATATAATTTTTTATAAAAAAAAAATTACTACTTAATTTATAACAAGATATGTATCACACGAACCTGCTTTCTTTGATTTAGGTCTAGAAGACGGGTTATAATCATCATCATCGTCTTTATCATCATTTTCATATAAAGGATCATATGTTGTACTATGATATTGTGAGTAATAAGGATGTTCATCATATCCTTCTTGAGCCAATAAATGAGCGATATACGCAGAAGACATTTCCTCCTCTTGTTGCTGTGTTAACACACTAGACGGTGGCTCAGGTGACGAACTTTTCCGTTGTTTTTTTGAAGCAGGTTCAATTTCATCGGAAGGACGCGGTTTTGTTTTCGGAGGCATACTCTTTAGTGTCACGCGTTATATATACGGTAGCCAATTAATTAAATATAAATATAATCAAATTAAATGTTAAATACTTTGCTGACTTATTTTTAATAAAATTTGAATTTTAATGTTAAAAAGCTTTGCATATAAAAACGCAAGAAGGTCGCGTTTTTTAAATTGATAAAAGTGTTATATCACATGATAGATTAAATTTCGATATATATTTTCATTCTAAGCACAGAAAACGTGTGACCAAACTGAAAACAATTAATGGCAATTAAATTCTAGAAATTACTTACCAACTAATTTTAAAGAAATAAAGCGTAAATAAAAGACTCAAATCAGTAATAAAAAATTTCGAAATGTGTATTACAGTATTAATAATTTACCATGCATCTATTTGAAATCTAAAACTGGCCAGAATTTCGATAACAACGCAATGAATTATCAAATCTTATCGATCATCATTTTCTCGTGACACACGCGACGTTCACTTAACACGTCCATATATCAACAAATAAAAAATAAAAAATAAAAATTCATTATATATATGTCAGATCCAAGCGGTCCTTAAATGGACAAACGTTATGAAACGTTTTAAGTTTTATTTCTTTATAAGTTAAGAATAAATAAAAAATATCGTAGTTCCGAAACTTAAATATTTAAAAATATAAAAAAAAAATATATATATATATTTTCAATAATTATTTTCCATCATAGCTTTAAGGCTTCACACTATCTTTGATCCAATCAAGATATCTGGTACTTCCTTTATCAATCTGTTCATCAGATGGATGTTATTTTGAGTACTTTCACAAAATCAAAAATTTGTTAAACCGAAAAGTGCGTTTACCTTGATTGAAATAACCTCTGGGACCTCATAGCCATGTTTCTTATTGACATAATCTGTAAGTTCACGAACATGTTTTTCTTCAGTTTTGATTACGAGCATTTGCTCCGTGGTCTCTTCAATTTTTCCATCCCACCCTGTCAAAGTAAGAATTTAATTTTTGAAGGATAAATCATTGTAAAAAGGATTTCCTGTCAACTTACAATAAAGTGAGGTTATCCCATGGATAACATTGACACAAGCGGCGAGCTTTCCTTCAACCAAACCTTATCATTAGAATTGTTCATAAATGATTAATTTTCTCACCGAAATAATAAAAAAAAATTAAAAAATTCGAAATAAAGCAAACCTCTTGATAATCTCTTCGCCACAGCCTCGTCCGGGCATGTGACAAAGACGACACGAGCCGTCACCGAATCTTGAGACATTGTTAAAGTGGCGGAAGTTGTAGTGAATAACCGAGGTAGTTGAGTCAATATTAACGAACAGGACAATAAAGTTCTTGCACAATATCGGTTTACAAGCATTTTTGCAAACGTTTGTCGTCGTCATATGATAATATTTGAATGGTGTCACAACCTTTATTGGATAGGGATGAACCGGAATTATTGAAAGTTTTGTTTAGAACCGATATTCCTTGTTTTAAAAAATGAGTGAAACGCGGAAACAAGGCATAGAAATAAACTCACATCCCAGAAGAACCCTTTTCTTTAGCAATTCTTGGAGTCTAATAACTTGAATTTAAGTATATAATATATTTGCTACGCAATAGACCAACTAGTCACTTATAATAACAACTGTGGAACGACAACATGACGACAGTTCAGTTCCCAAAACAGTGCCCTAATTGTCGGAAAAGGTATGGAGATGTGACGAGACCCTGGTGCAAGAAGTGTGACTTTTCAAAGTTGTTTGGCGAGTGGACGAGTGGTAATGAAGCAATCGACGAATTTATTAAAATGACACAAAATCGACAGGGAAACTATGACGACAGTTTCTTGGAATGGATCCCTTTTGATCGCATCTTTAATAAACAAAAAATTGGACAAGGAGGATATGGTACCGTCTATTCTGCGGAATGGATTGATGGGAAAAGGTATTGGGATCAATCAACAAGGGCACGACAACCCTGTAAGGTGGCATTAAAAAGTTTAAACAGCGAAACGGAATCTCTTCAAATTTTTATTGAAGAAGTAAGTGAGAAAATTAAATCAATTTTACCCATCCAAAGTTTAATAAATTGTAACCATCCCTTTTTTTTAATTATAAGGTACGTTCTCATTATGAGGTGCATAATACTTCTTTCATGAGTAATTCGTTTCCAATGTATGGACTTTCCCAAGATCCCGATACTAAAGAATATTTGATCGTTATGCCATTCGTTGAGAATGGTAACTTGCGTTCATACCTCAATCAAAACTTTCACGTAGCAGATTGGGAATTTAAACTCCAATTGCTTTACAGTATCGCGTTTCGACTCTCCCATATTCATAGTCGGAATATGGTTCACAGAGATTTACATGGTGGGAACATACTTGTGATGATTGATAAAGATGGCAATGGAAGGGGGGAAATATCGGATTTTGGACTCTGTCGCTCAACTGCAGATAATGTGGAAGAGGGAGATGTCTTTGGTGTACTACCTTACATTGCCCCGGAGGTATTAAAAGGTGGGACGCACACCACAGCGGCCGATATTTACGCTTTCGGTGTAATAATGTGCGAAATGACAACGGGACAGCCCGCATTCTGTGATCGCGCTCACGATGTGTCACTGTTAATTGATATCCTCAATGGAACTCAACCTAAAATCCTTGATGACACTCCTAAAGAATATTATCAACTGGCGAAACGTTGTCTTGATTCTGACCCTGACAATCGTCCGGGTGCGTGGGAACTTCGTAATTTTTTTTCTAATCGTTACGTAACCAAAAGCGTTCCTCCAGAATATCGAGTAGCGGATGAACGCAAAAAGAATATCCTTCCTCAAAACTCTCATCAGATCTATCACTCCGATGCAATTTACACGAGCCGTAATTTGGGTTTTACTAAATCTGTAAACCAACTAAAAAATACGAATCTGAATCAAGATATATTTGGTAATCAAATAATCTGTTATTTTCACCATATTTTATTTACCGCGTCATGTTCTAATACATTTTGATTTTTTTCAGATTCCAGTCAAGTTAATCTGCAAATTCCAGACGGATTTTGATCAAAGTGTATTGAAAATCATTCTTCGATCATGGTTTTGGATGTATTATTAATAATCGAATTTTATTTTATTTTATTTTAAATATTTTAATGTTTTGAGATTCCTCCATTATTATTAAGCGGTATTGCGCAAATTAATATAAATAATCTATTTATTAATTTAACTATTTGCCTTTTGCTTATTTATTTATCAATAATATTTTAACGCAAATGATTGATATATATATGTCGATCATTTGATCGACAAAATTTTATTATCTGAATAATCGAAACTTTTTTTAAAATATTTTTTAATACTTTTCACATTATTTTAACATTTATATAGGAATAAAAACACATTTTAAGTATATTTACCTTAAGGTTGCTGGACGAAATCCAGAGTTTAGACAGACGTCTAAATGGTAAAAGTAAAACTTGGTTAAATTATATTAAAATCTTATTAAAAAATCTGCGAAATTCAGAAAAAGGTAAAACTATATCAAAGCTTATAAAAATGGCGAAATTATATCAAAAATTTAGCGAAATTAAAGGTTTAGACGTTTAGTCAAATCCAAAATGAGTTTAGACAAGCAACCTTAGGGTATAATATAAAACCACTCAAAAAAAGAGGAATTAATGTGTCGATTAAATGTGATAAAGAAGTTCTATTGTATTTTCTTTTCTGTTTATCTGAGATGTGAAAAGATTTTTCTTTTTTGATTATTAGATCACATTTAGGAAGCCAAATATCATTATGAGTTCAATTATAAAGATAATTAGTAGTATTTAATAGAATATTAAATGTGTTTTTTGTGAGTTTGCAATGCATAGAATGTTATTGAAAAGGGTTGATAAAATGATGCCTTTGATTAAATCAATGAAGGTTAAGGAATCATTTCAAGAGATGATAGTCCAAAGATTATCAGTTTAAAATAGTTAATTAAGAAGGTGAAAGGAGTAAAATGAAGTAAGGTAAGTTGATGCAGATGGAAATTTTTGATACTATCTATGATATCATCATGGTTAGTAAGCTGGAAATACATAGCCAAATTTGGTCAAAAATTTCATTTGCTTGAGCATAACAACAACAACATTTTCATGAATTATAATAAAAATGTTTCTGTGTAGATTTTAAGAATTCTATTATAGGAAGCTATTCAGTTAAATATTTGATTCTTTGACTGTGTTGTTTTGAGTTATCAACAGTAGATAAATCTGTGACTTGATATCCTTTCAAATTAGTAAAATGCATAGCCAATTTATGTGAAGATATTTGTATTTGAAGTTAAATTCCAGTGGGATATCAAATAAAGCATTTTTGGCTAAAGTGTCAACATATTCATTCCATTTAATTCCTAAGTGTATTTTGACCTTAACAAATTTCACTTGTAAGGGTTTAATATCTATTAAAAAAAAATGTAAGACCAATATATATAGAAAGGGATTTTGAAAAGAAGAGTAAAGTAATTTAGAATATTATGTTTTTTGACCTTTTTAAAAGTTTGAATAAAAAGAGATTATCTATATGAATTATAATATTAAAGACAAAAGTATGACTAATAAAATAGCCATAATTTCAATATGAGATGAATTGGATCATATAGAGATAATAGCAGTTGAGAAAGAAAATTCTAAATTGTCATTTTTAATAAAAGCTAATACTAAACTAAAATTAGTAGACAAATTATCAGAATCAAAAAGGTGAAAACTATCTATGTAGAATTCTAAATGTAATAAATAAAGTTATTGTTGAAGGTGTAAAAAATGTTACTATGTATTTTGATTAATGATTAATTTTTTGAGAAAATTTATATTATAAGAATAATTTTTAAAGATTTTTATAGTTTATTATAAAAAGATATTAATGTTATAAAATTTGTTATAAAGAAAAAAAAATTGATCAGAAAGTGTGAATAAAGAGCTTCTAAATAAATAAATTTGATCTATTAATCTTATATTTGTTTCTTTTAAACTGTTAATATCACTTATATTGAGTAAACCACAATTTACATAAAAAATATATTTGAGATCTAAAATGTTTAATAAGTTGAAATCTAATTTATTTTCATCTGAATTATAGTGATAGCCAGAACATGCTATATAAGTATGTTACTTTTTTGAAGAAGAACAAGGGTCTTGTAATAAGTTTTATTTACAGAAATAATGATATAAAATAAGATGTGATTGAGCAGAAATTTTAGTTAATCATTCTATAATTATTTGTTAATAAGTGTTATTCTAGAAAGTAGTTTAATTTATCCTTTTCTGATTTTGATCAGTGGAAATGACAAATTTTAATAGATGTGAAACATTGGATACATACTGTAATAGTAATCTATTAGTATAAACTAAATTATCAATAACTTTTTGTTGTAATCTGAGATACCAATTTGTGAGTTTTAATTTGTGAGAAAGACCAAAGAATTTGTATTTGAGGTTACTGTATGATATAAGATAGAGGTCTTTATCAACTATTAATTGTTTAAACATATAATATGATGAGAAATTAAAGATTTCAAATCCTAATTATTAATGAAGATAACTTTAGATAAAGGAGTTTGATTTATTCAGTATATATTTTAGATAGTTAATTAGTTAGAAATTTAATGTAAATATTTCTAGCTATTTCTAAAAGAGTAATTAGCCTAGTATTATTAAGATTATATTACCATAGTTTGGGTTTAGGAATGAGAAAATTTAAGTTAGTTTCCATCCTGCAGGAATATCTTGTAAAATTGTATAAATGTGAAAGATTTTGAAAAGCAATTAAAAAGCATTAATATTAAAATATTTGATGAGTTCATAAGTAATACCTGATGGTCTAACAGCTTTATTATTAGGAAAAGAATTAATCAGTTGAATCCATTTATTAAAGTCAGGAAGATCCAGTAATAAGGAATAGCAATTTTCATCAATATATTTCAAATCATCATAATTTTGTTGCCAAAGGTGCCAAAGGTTTCAAAAAGGATGAGACTCTTTTTTTGAGTTTTTGGAATTAGCTATCTTTTGAAAGTGAGTGCTATTATATGTAAGAACTTTAGAGAGTTCAAGTTTTAAATATATATTTGAAATTTAAATGTAACATAATATTCTGTAGATTTATAATTTTCATAATATTTCAGAGTATTACATTATAAAACTATACAAGTTTACAAGTTCATAAAATTTATGAAACATTACAGTTAATGATACCTACCTAAACTCTTTTTTGAAAAATTGTAGTTTTGTCAAAAGATTTTGTCTCTTTAATATTTTTATATGAATAAATATAAAATTATTATATATTTTGATTCAAGGAATTTAGATCAAGTTAAATATAATTTCGGCAATTAAGTAAAATAATTTTATCATTAATACAACTAGTTTTGTTATTTCAGTTTCATCAATTTCATTATATTAAGAAAGGTAATTTCGTCAGGTATCATTAATTATAATGAAATCCTACATAAAATTATGGACCATATTTTTTATGTAATATTACAATTAAAATTTTATATAGGATTACGGTATTGTAAGATTTACAAAATATTATGATGAAGTCCTATGTAGGGTTACGAATTCATAAAATTACAAAATATTATAGTGAAATTCTATGTAAGATTATAAGATCATATGAAATCTTATGTAGTATTATAATTTTCTATCATAGATTTAAAATTAGTAATACATGTATTACACTATTTAATATAAGCAATGAATACATACTTTATATCTTTTATTAATTTATATATAGCTTTTAAGAGATGTCAATTTTAAAATATTTAATTGCATATATTCTAATGAAATAGCATTCATTACTGTATTAAAAACTATAATTCAAAATCATATGCACATATTAACATTAAATATATTTAATTCAGCATAAGTTTTAATTAAATTCCTGTATTAAAAATATATAATTCAGAATTATATACACATATTATAATAAAATAGTGTTAAATATAATTAAATTCCTATATTAAAAATATATAATCAAGCAGAAATCTGCTGATTTAGCAGATTTATAAAAATTAATAAATTATCATAGATTTTTAAAAAAAACTGTGTTCTATATACCAATCATATTAAATCTTTTTTTTAAGATTTATTAATTTTTTTATACAATTTTTGTATTTATAATGTTAAGAAAAGTGATTCATACCATAGCCAGATAAAAGGGGTTTTTTAATATATACTAATATTTTAGATAACAATTATCAAAACCTTTCTGAAAAGATAAACATAATATATTTTAATGTGAATTAATTTTGAAAAAATTTTTTAATAAAAAGATCAGATTTTAAAAAATGATGTAAAAAATTTTGATAGCAAATGATAATTGTAAGGGTCGCTAAAACATTGCAATTTAAGAAGCATAGCGGGCTTTCGTTATGATTGGCTAATTTTTACAGATCATTTTGTGAGGTGATGTAATATTTTTATCCAATCAGCCCTATAAATAATATGTATAAGGAAAGTATACGGAAATAATACGTTTAAAAAACGTATAATAAACGTAGAAAAACAG